GAACGAAACGGTGCTATTGGGTGCAAACGTAGTCAATATTGGTAACTTCCTCTTTTGATAAAAAACCTTTGAGACGCAATTCAACAAGTTGGCTTTATAAAATATACATGGAGCTCATCGTAGAACTGAGTCTTGTGCAACCGCAGGACCGTCTAATTACGTTTGGGAATAATTTTCATACAAGCATACAACACAGCTTCACACACACTTAAGAGAGGGTCTGTGAGAGGACCACCTAACTCTTAAGAATTGAACACTATTACATGTTAATCTCGTAGTGAAGTGAGAAATCACAGATTATCGGTAAATAGTCCCTTATTCTGAATAGCAGCAAGAGATACGAAATGTGGTGCGTTCGAAAATACATATGTTACTATGCCTTTACATATTTCCGTGAGCTATAGTGGCAGCGGATTAGCTCAACGAGCATCTGGACTACTGGCAACAACTTTAAATGATTCAATACTGAAACATGATTCACAAATATTCTTCGATATAAGAAAAAACAATAGCAATTATATTCGAAAAAAATCCGTTTTGAAATGACGACATGAAAAAGAAACCACAAATCTGGAGCATTCTTGAACAGATATCTTTAAAAATCTACCGAATTTTCGAAAACAACCAAAAGTCACATTCTTACTCTTACAATACATCTTGATTGTTACTCAAGCATGAAAAATTGACGACACATTCTTTTATCGCTATGATAATTACCAACTTCATTTTGCATTTGTAATTGAGGGCTGAAATTATCGATAAAGACGACCACAGGAAACAAGACATCATATGACTACTCTGCTCAATTCCTCTCCTTTTTCACAAAATCAAGCGAGATCCACTCGTAGTTGTCTTCATCTATTGCTTTGTGGAACTCACATATACTCTCGAAGAGAATAGTGAGTGTAAATTTTTAAGTTCAAATTTTTGCGGCTACCCGCCCCTCCCCTCCCATTACAAACCTTAGCAATCGACAATAATAGGCGTCAGATTTTCAAGAGTTTTCTTTTTGAAATTGATGAAGTTATAATTTTGAAAAATAATCAGTAACATTATTTGTAAGTTGATTAATATATATGGTAGTGAGTAAGATCTGTTGTAGACATCATGAATATGTAAAACAGACGAGCAGTCATCCTATTCCGCAAAGTTACACATTCCTGCACGTTCCTGCACATTCCTGCACGTTCCTGCATATTCCTGCATATTCCTGCATAGGTACATGTATTCATCTTCTACTTAACATTGCCATCGAAATAAAGATGCAATTCCCCTTTGAATTCCGGAATTGCATCTATATCGAATGACCAGGAATTCCTGCACATTTCTGCACATTTCTGCACATTCCTGCACATTCGTGCATGTTCCTGCATAGGTACATGTATTCATCTTCTACTTAACATTGCCATCGAAATAAAGATGCAATTCTCCTTTGAATACCGGAATTGGATCTCTATGGAATGACCAGGAATTCCAGCACATTCCTGCACATTCTTGCATCTTCTTGCACATTCCTGCACATTCGTGCATATTCCTGCATATTCCTGCATAGGTACATGTATTCATCTTCTACTTAGCATTGCCCTCGAAATAAAGATGCAATTCCCCTTGAATTCCGGAATTCCATCTATATCGAATGACCAGGAATTCCTGCACATTTCTGCACATTCCTGCACACTCGTGCATATTCCTGCATATTCCAGCATAGGTACATGTATTCATCTTCTACTTAACATTGCCATCGAAATAAAGATGCAATTCCCCTTTGAATTCCGGAATTGCATCTATATCGAATGACCAGGAATTCCTGCACATTTATGCACATTCCTGCATATTGTTGCACATTCCTGCAGGAATGACCCGGAATAGCCAGGAATCACCCGGAATTCCTGCATATCCCAATGATTACGGTTGTGCACAAATTCCGGAATTCCGCTTTCCTATTCTTGAACCTCGGGAAATGATCATTTAGCCATCCTTGACATGTTTGTAGTTCCGGAATAGGCAGGAATGACCCGGAATTCCTGCATATCCCAATGATTACGGTTGTGCACAAATTCCGGAATTCCGCTTTCCATTTCTTGAAGCTCGAGAAATGATCATTTAGCCATCCTTGACATGTTTGTAATTCCGGAATAGGCAGCAATGACGCAGAATTCCTGCGTGTCCTAGTGATTCCGCATAAGCAGAAATTCCGGAATTCCGGGTTGTTGCATGTTTTTTAGGGAAAGGGTCGTTTTTGCTTTTCCGGAATTGATGGTAAGGGATTGCATGTCAGAAGGCGATGCAGGAATGTGTAAATTTTGGGAATAGGAAGTATTCTCAGTAGTCTTTATAACATTTGTATAAACACTCGTAAATTTTACTTTTCATATGTATCTACGTGAGTTACGAAAGAGATCGTTTAAGCGACGGAAAACGTCTTTTTCGACTTTTCGTTTTGTGCCTACGCGTCAACTATTGTGTTTACTAAGTTATTCATCTTTCATGCGGACGACACATGTTTCAAGATTGATAGCTTTGTCTATTTTGGAACGATGACTGTGCCTGTGGGCACAAGAAAGGATGATGATGTAGGTGTTCTTTTCGTGCATACCCACACCTACACCCATCTTTGAGTAACTGCTTTCGTTTGGGTGGACAAGTTTGATAAGCAATTGATGAATCATGTATTTTGTTGACTTTCTATAATTTCCTTTTCTATTTCGAAAACAAATTAAGAAGGTGAATAAACATGTGTCAATAACAATTCTATGGTGTCTTGAAACTGTTGTGTAGAAAATTTTTGACTCATTATTGTGCAAACAATAAATAACACTGCTAATAAAAGAGACTACTCAAGAAAAATATTGTCAATCTTCACCGGTTCCATTTTAAGAACCGCTCCGTCTGAGATGAAAGTGAATGCTAATCGTTTAAATTAGTCGTAGCTGCTGTATAAACAATAAAGGAGCTACTACTTAACATCATTTTCAGAATGCGTCGCAAGTGACGTTTGCATTATCCAGCATTTGATGCTCCTAGTACATAGAAGATATGGCGACGGAACAAAGCCAAAACAAACTCGGGAGAGCTAGGAATTGTATTTGCAACGATATCTCGTAATGCTAACTTTTTTTGCTGAAAGAGCAAGGATACTAGTGAAATGTGGTCTCATCTATTTTCGACGCCATATCATTTGCGGCTGGTATCAATCGATATAGCATACGAATATGCATCTATAGCATCTCACTCTCAGCCATATCTTTACGAAAAATCGAATATTAAAGAATTGGAAAGTTCGTTCGAAAACTCTTCAACATATCTAAACCTATCAGACTAAGCATCATATTCATCGCTAGCATTCAATCAATCCTTTCTTCTATATGAAAATCACCTGTCGATATACTTGATTCATCATTCAGTGGTTATATGTCTTTGACTTGTTCTTCAGTTTTTAATGTTCGTTTTTTATTCTGTATTCACTCGCATGCAGATTGTATGCTGTCAATACAAACGAGCGAGTAAAAGAAGATATTTTTCTCGTTTCTTTCACATAAATACACGTATAGAAGAGAAACAGTAAACATGCCTTTCGAAAAAAGAGAGAATAAATAATATGGCTGTTGTTGATAGTTAATGAAGAAGAAAAAAAGCATTAGAATGCTCTATACGTTTGTCCTTCCATTTAAATTTGCTCCGAGACAACGAAAAAAATCGACGTTTTTTACTTCAAGTTTCTCGGAACTATCATCGAATATATGCAATGTTCGTTGATTTCGTATATTTCGCTTCATAGCTGAATGCGATGCTCGCCGAACTAGCTGCTCGATGTGCACCCCAGCCACATCATGAGTTTGTCATATGAAAGGTTCAATATTAAACGTCTGTCGATATTAAAGCGTTTTGTAACATTATTTTGGTATCAATATTGAAAGATGTGGGTGGTGTGAGTGGATGTAGGTGTACATGCGAAAGAATAGAAGATACACAATCACCTCCACTACTACAATCATACTCATATATGCATATCCCACACTCTGTTTTATCGATTGAGAAGAATAGTTTTCTTCATCGTTTTCTTTCTTTTGTTCTAATTCTCGAGACGATCAGCGACGAAAGAGATGCTGCATGTGCTAGAGATTGCAGGACGTTCTATATCTATGTTATATGGATTTCTCGTATGAACACATTGCTTTAAGCAAACTGTACTAAAGAATCGCACGATTTTTTTACTTCTTATAAAAATCAAGGACAACGAACGAAATTTTGAATCTATGAAAATGAAAGCATAGAATTTATCAAGGAAGTGACTATGTCTACTCAGTTGCACAAAGACAACCCACTATGTGCACTCAAGTAGGGATAATCAACTAAATAATAAATTATTGACACGGTAGTAAAATACCCGTTGTGGCTTTGACGAAGGCTTGTTTGCTACTTGAATATCAATAGTTTTATAGTTATTGAATAGCTCTTTCTTTGCTCTATTCCAATACATAAAAAATTTTCTGAGTGAACTAGAATCAGTAGAGAAATACAGCTTGTAATTGAAAAAATAGCGAGAAGAACACGCAAAAACAAGAGTAGACCTGGTCAAGTTTTGAGTCTTGGTTATCTATACGTTGGAGATTGAAGAGAGGGTCACGTATACAGTTTTGTCGAGCGAAATGCGTTTTATCTAATAGAATATTTATTTGAAAGATTCTGACAACTTACTAGGGAACAAATGGCAATATACTGATTTCCCAAGTTTAGTATAAATTCTTTTTTTAAAACTTTTTCAAGATCTATTCAGCGTTTACGCTGTAGCTGTTCAGAAATAAGTAAGAATGTGCTAAAATTTAGATTTTTAGGTCTATGATGCTACTTTTCCATCTGGAATAAAAAATATAGGCGTCACAATTTGTGGGAGCATAGCCTTGCTTGATCAGCTAATGAATCGTCTTTTAAGATTTTGTAGTCTCATAACATTCAATACATCCTATTGAATACTACGTCATGGCAGGTATATAATTGTTCTACTGCCACAAAACACGCCCTTCCATGCCGCCATGAACCATCAATACTTCGCCTGATATATGTCCAGCTGTTTTGTGTGAAGCCAAAAATAGGCATGCCTTTGCTACATCATCAGTTGTAGCTACTTTTCGCAAAGGTGTCATTTGAAGCGTTCGCACATGTTTGCCTTCTTCGAATGACTTCTCAACCATTGGTGTTCGTGTCCATCCTGGTGCTACGATGTTACATCGAGCTTGTGGAATAATATGAATGATTTCATTTTTTAATGATTTTATAAAACCAGAGTGTAGACCACCTTTTGCTGTTGCATAATCAATATGATTGGCTTCGCCGAATTTCCCTGCTGATGAACCAATAAATAAAAGACAAGCATTAATATTTGTATCATGCCATGATTTGAGATGTTTTAATTGTCGACACCATTCTCGTGCATAGAGAAAGTATGATGTCAAATCGACATTCATTGTATGTTGCCATTGATCAAGTGACATATCCCAAATCGGAATATCATTTTCAGTGACTACAGCATGATTAATAATACAAACATTTATAAGTCCAAAATGATTACAACTTTCTTCGACGCCTTTTTGTACAGCTTGTTCATCAGTAGCATTAACTGAAAGTGCATGGCATTGATTAGAATATTCGTTCAACAATGAACCTAAATTTTCTACATTACGATGATAATGTAAAGACACGTTGGCACCTTGAGCAAGAAATAAGCGTGCAATAGCAAAACCAATCCCACCTACTGCACCAGTTACTAGAATATGTTGGCCATTCATAGTTACACGTTGTATGAAATGTGTATGCTGAGAAGAGATAAGATAGGAAAGAAAGAAAATAACAAATGAGTGAGCGCATTACTTTTTATCTAAAGCATGTTCTTTAAAAGACGCAGATATTATAGGTTGTTAGGCCCAAAGTCAATTGCGAAAAGATAAAAAACGTCTATTGATGCCTGAAAATGGAGGATATTAACGTACACGTCGCAGACTGTATATAACGCGTATGTAGACGTAAAATTCCTCTGCTAGTTAGTGCACACAAGAAATAGGAAAAAAAGCAAAAGCTACTCTGCCAGCAGTAAGCTTTGTAGTGTAGCTTGCATATATACCCCTGAGAGGTAGCATATACATGGACCTGGGTAGATTTGCACTTGTAATGCCCGTCTGTAAGATGAACATATTCACCACTCGACCATTCAGTCTTATTGATAATCGCTCACAAACTCTCTTACAGATTGAGCGCCAATACACACGCAAATGCATATGGGATAACTATAGATTATGATGCAGTTTCTAAAACTATTTTCCATCAAATACTTTCTAAAACTTTATACAAAATGATGCACTCCATTCAATATTTATAGGTTTCAAATCATCATATAACCGTTTTAGAACGACAGTCATATGTTCACAAAGCTAAGTTTCTAACTAATATTTGCTTTCTGTGATCTCAAATTAGGTTTTTAATCATGAAGCATCAATCATATGTCAATATTGCAGAGACTACTCTACAATGCTATTTACGGTGAACAAATAACAAAAATGTCAAATTTTATAGAGAGTTGATAAATAGAATGTGGTTTCATTGTTTGAAACATTTAATAGAGTAAAATGAATTCGTTCAAGTGTTGACGACGTAATTGTATACATATTTCTCAAAAAACCTTTAGCGAAAGTGCGTACCTTCTCGAATACTAAGCTTTAACACGATGAATTACTCGCGGATAGATACAGATTTTGGGAAACTTTTGCTACACTACATGCCAACACAAGTGAAATACGTATATACGTGTAGTTGTGGGTGGAAATCTTCACATTGATGCCCATGGTTTTCACACGCGAGGTTTTGTGAGATGAAAACGATTGAATATGAATGTACGTTTCAAGGCTAAACGTCTGATCAGTTTCGCGTGTATGCAATAAGGTAATTCGTGGTAATAGAAAAGGTTGTATATATTTGTATGATTTTCTGTGAAATTAAACGGTAGGATAAATCTTCTGCATGAACAGAAAATTATCTTAGAAATCCATGCATTTGAACACATTCTCAAGATTTTTGCTATTGAGTGGATTTACAATGAAGGGAAGTTCAATTTTTAACAAATAATTCATATTGATCATGTATCTCAAGACTGCTACTCGTAATTATGAACGTTTGTAAATTGGTTTTGTTCACATTTTGAGAAAATCTATTGACTGTCGAACAATAAAAATTAGATCTGTGCTAAATTAATCATGTTCAGACTGTGCTATGTAAATAGTAATTTATTAATATTAATATAACCTTTTTTGCGTATTTCATAGATGTTTTTTACACTATGCGTGATTTCAGGAGTATGTTCGTAATGCAGCGGTAATCATGGTGGTGCAGTCTAGGCATAATCAAGCGCATGGGCAACTGGTAAGAAAGTGTTCTGAATGCCTAGAAATGAATTCAGAAGAAAACGATATCGTTTTCAAACGGAACAACGGTGCCATTTTAAGTTAAAAGAAGAAAAATTGGTATTGATCTGTCAAAAAGCAATCTTATTCGGTTGTTTTTACAAATTTTTCAATGTAAGATTTTTTTCTGAAAGCTTTAATTTTTGCAATTTTTTTTATTTACAATGAACATCAATGTCAAGGAAATAAATAGAAGAAAATAAATTTATTTTTCTAATACTGAAAAATACAAAATAAAAATAAATTCTGTAAGTCTAATACGAAAGGTACTTAAAAGAATAGAAGGATTAATACCTGCCAAATCTTCTCACTCTTACTAAACAAGAGAAAAAAAAATTATTCCTTATTATTTTTCAATCTGTCTCAAATTGTCATTCAATGCTTTTTAGTTTCGTCTTTTGTTTTAATTTCTTCTATTTCATAACTCTAGCTGAAAATTTTGAGCTACTTGAGAATGACTTTCTAAAATTTTATATTACATTTGAGTTAAACTTAACCATGACAGTATACTATTTTCTTAGTATTGGTTTATTAGAATCTTGTCTCTTTTGTGTAGAGAAATTTTTTTAATTGTCACAACTACAAGCTAAAACCGGGAGAATTTTCGCTTGTCTTTCCATCCTAATAAAATACTTGTACCCTTTGACCATATCATCTATTTAACTACACAGAAACAATAGACGCAAGAACATAATAAAAGCAACTCAAAGTCATTAATTAATATTTTATTAAGATATTTTCCATCAAGAGTAGAAAGAAGAGTCTTTCGTTCAGCATCTGATCACATCTACTAAACGATCATTATTTAGTCTTTAAAAAAGATGCGTAGAAAAAAATGATAAAGCAAAAATTCATAGATGTGAATAGCAGTCCGGCAATTCATAATAAGAAAATAAATGCTTTATCTAAAAAATTTTAATTCTTATCCTCAAAAACAAAAATAAAATAAAACTATTCACAGAATTTTGCAATACAAAACGAACCATTGAAAAATCTCGACATTTACGCTTCGACTTTCGATCATGTTTACATTACCAATAAGATTTAAATTTACTTGTTTTACTGATAAAATAACTAAAATCTTTATAGAAGGATAGAAGTTATTTTTTCTCAATTATACTCAAGGTAAATATTGATGTTTTAGAAAAACATCTGAAGCAAGCTGCTTAAATAGTTTGAAATCTAACTTATTAACAGCCTATTCATTAAATCGTTTTTATATTGCATGAAATTCTCTTCTTGATTCTGTGTGTGCGTTTTTGGACTAATAATAATCAATCAAAAGCTTTATTTTTGAATGATTCTTTTCCTTTGCTTCCGAAACTATGTCCCTCAAAAACTTATTTTTAGAAGTAACCATACAAGGATGTCAGCAGCGATGTCTGATGTAAATATTTATAAGACATCTTTCACTTTCAAAACGTATCACAGATATGTACTAATAATTAGTTTCTCGAGTCCTCTATGGTAATAGAATTAATTGGATCTGGGGAAAAACTGCAAACAAGGGTATGGGTACTGGTCCGTTTATTAGGAATATAGGTCGCTAGAAGAATAGTCTTGTGCTTCATGTTGATGTTCAATGAAAAGTGAATCAAACGCAGATAAAAAGCTTTAATGCCTTTCTTAGAACTGTTTTTTTGTATATGGAGCAACTCAGAGACATCAATTATAAGTTATGACATTGATTATTTAGATATATGATCTGCATATGGACATTTACCATATGAAAGTTTATCACAGAAAAATTTCGGAAAGTTAACTCAACACCGGCCGTTTTGATCTCTGATTAGAGGTTCTTCTCTTTTAAATCTTAATACTTAAATTTAAAGATTTCTTTGACACGACTTCAATTCAGTTCAATATTGAATTAAATATAAAAAAATATGCTGAAGTCTTTTTCTGTGAAATTAAAGTAACTCTGAGATATTTTACAATTCAATGAAAACAGGAATAAAGTTGAAAATTCTAGAGTTAAACACTTTTTCATTGTCAATCAACTGATCAATTTTCTTTGAAATTTTTTTTTTTCAAATACATCGGCAACTTGATTTATATACTGTAACATTATACGTGATATAGTTTCATTTGAACTGATTATTCTGAAATTTTTCTTATACGTAAAGAGAAGAATTTGATGTTTGTAGAGAACAAAATAAGTAATATTAACGTGAATTGATTTTCCTCTTTTTTTTTTTTTTTTCTTGAAACAAAAAGAAGTTCTGAATGCAAAGTTCAATGAGTATTTTAGACTAAAATGTTTATTCAACGGACTTGAATTGATCACATGCGTGTTTATTAGCATTAATATGAAAAACATTTGAACGTAATTTATCACGAAAACACGTAAAATTTTTTATAATCATTTATTTCTACATGTCTTTTTCCTTCGTTCACAAATTTTCCAGTTGAAAAAATTCTCTACGATTTAGTAATAAGTGTTCTATAAATACACTGAAGAATCTGCGTAATATGAAAGCCTAAAGCATGTCGAGCGATGATTATAAGATAAACCGAGAGTAAAAGAACATCAAATATTGATCACAAGAACTTATAAACATAAGATGACCTTTATTAAATATTCACTAATAATGACTTATTATTGAAAATAACTTGTAAAAAAAATTGAATTCATTGTTGACAATAATTCGGACTCTTAATAAGTTTTTATATAATTCAATAAGGAAACGAATTTTTATTATTATGTAAAAGCAGAAAAAAAAAGGAAACGATTTGTTGTTGTATTTCCACATGAATAAAGAACTAATCATGAATAAGAACGAAGAGGTCGTTATTAATAAGCGTTACTTGTCAAATGCGAATTTGTATCGACAGTAGCGTTATTCTCGACATCAAACATTTTAATTTTGCTCTCTTTGATTCTAAATTAACCATTATTTGGTGTCTTATCATCAAATAATGTTCATTGTATAGAGAATTTCTATTTCTTTTTATCAAATATGAGAATTAATTAATCGTAGTAACATTATGGTCAGAAAGTGGCAGGTTTGTTTTTATTTTTGTTCAATTTTTTTTTGTATTTATATATTATCTATAGTTTCTTGAAAGTAAAAACCGAGTATTTTGTAATGGTCGTTGTATTACCGGTCATAATATTGGCATATTTATATTTGCTCTTTTTCTAATCATTGTTATATCTGGACTTTTCTTTGGTTTCGAGTAAGATTTCGACGAAACAAAAAAAAACATTCATATAAATTTCTTTCAAATTTTAGTTGTCCCTATCTAACCAAACGACTTAGTCCAGCTATACCAATATTTGCTGCTATTTTATTTCTTATGGTTATTTTTTGTATTGTACGTACAGCTTTTAC